ATAATAAAATACTAACAAAAATGTTCTTCCACTTTGAGCTACCTACTATTTTAAACTATTAGAAAATATATAAAATGACTTTTTGAATGCCCTGTATAAATTGAATATGTTTTCTTTAAATTTACCTTTGATTCCGGAGACCCATAGTTTATTGATTTGTCATTAAATAATTTTTACTAAAAATATATGTAAACCCTCCCGAAACACTACGTCAATGTGCGACGTACGATTCCCCTTTCCCCGTCTGGTAAAACATGCGGACAGAAGGTGTATTGGGTATACAGTGTGTAGGGCGAGTCTATCTTAGATAATATGATGTCTATGGAATTGCATAACCTATTACCATGGGAATATAAGTAGTGAAATCTTTTCCTATGGGAAAATTTTCCAATGAACTCGAGAATCGAGCCCCTGGAGTGAATGTTATTTTGGAACTTTCAACTGGTCCGAGTGAGCTAACCACATACTTTGATTACTATACGGGGCAAGAGGTCCAACACGCCCAACATAGGGCGCGGCCATTTTGATTCCTATGACACAGTTTATAGCTAAAGAATCAGATCGCTCACTCTGCGTCGGCACTTTTGATCTCAATGTTCCAGTTTATACACTGCGCAACTCGGATAATAAAATATATGACAACCGCCTATAATAAAACAGCAGTTTTCTGCGTATCCTGGATTTGTATCCCTGGAGTGGATGTTATTTTGGAACTTTCAACTGGTCCGAGTGAGCTAACTGATTCTTTAGCAATAAACTGTGACTCCAAAAATAATATTAGGTCTTTTCCTTTGCATCGAAAGTGTAGGACCGAGCTACACCACTTCTGAAAATATCGTTCCATTTATACAAATTGTATGGATGGAACAATATTTTCAGAAGTAACGTAGCTCAGTGCTACACTTTCGATGCAAAGGAAAAGACCTATTCACTGACACTGACAGCAGCAAGTAAAATATCAGGTGCGTTTTAATCATCCGCTTCTGCTTCCGGAATTGTTGGTTTAGTCGTTTTAACTTGTCAGATTAAAACCAGAAAACCGACAATTCCGAAGCAGAAGCGGATGATTAAAACGCACCTATTAAAAATATTGCGCCAAGATGTAGGCAACACGTAATAAAGGTTCAAAATGGCAGAGTTTTGTATCTCCTTTTAAAAGGCACTCAGAAAGCTGCGCAGTGCGACCATTCTCCGTATAGTAAAAGAAAATCAAAGTATGTGCATCGGATGCATTTTTTACATCCCGAGCGTTTTTTTATTCACATCGGACACATCTGTCCCATTACATTTACGTATACTGAATCACGTGATCAAAGATTTACATAAAACTATTTGTAAAAAATGGCATTTATTTTCACCAAAATTGACCAGTTCCACTCAATGAACTGGAGTGGGGTAGAAAGCCAATGTGCATATTGTATCAATAGAACAATATGCGACTCTATGGGCGCAGCCATTTTTATTTCTCATCTCACTCGGGAGTATTTATAATAACCATTTTCTGTTTCACTTTGTTATTGTTCAATCCACATGCTGGTGGATCAGACAATAACAAAATGAAATAGAAAATGGTTGTTAAAATACTCCCGAGTGAGATGAAAAATAACCTGTCTTTGCCCATAGAGTCGCATGTCAAGCCTATTGACAAGCACTCTACCCCACTCCAGTCACATACTTTACTCCAGTTCATTGGTTCCACTAGATCGAGTTTGACATATGACGTAAAAGTGTAATGCAAAGGTGCCGATCACATACTTTGATTTTCTTTTACGTGCCGATACATCTCCTTTTCATTTAGACACATCAGGCGATTTTAAATCAGATAGTATGTCTTGAATATGAATGACTACACTGATATAAATTAAAAACAATGACGTCGTATTGAATATTGTCTTGAAATGGTCAAGTTTAACATGACTACAGGGGTGTGTTCCGTTTTATGAACGCATGGACTAAACACAGTCACTAATTAATAAACATTCAAATTAAAAGGCTGTTTTGTCTAGGTATTTTGGAAACGTCATTCCGTTTATGAGAACGTCTGTGTCTGGGCGACAACTTTAGGTTAAAAATCGTCCGTCATGCGCATTGATGATGATGTGTAGTCCAAATTCAATTCCAAGATTTATCGATGAACATGGCAAAAGGTTCGGTAAAATTTCAGAGGCGAAAGCAATTACAACACCAATTTTCTCTTCATCCGTGATCAATACACAAAACAAATATGTATGTTTTATCCTTACAAATTCAAATCCTAACTACAATTTATAATACAGGAACAAAAATTGGCGGTATCTAACAATGTCATGTGCATTGTCAATATAAACCAAAACATTTTTAAATTAGATTATTAAAACGTCATTATTATGACGTAAGAACCTTGACCACACTTGACTTGGTCACATTTCTAGTAACTGATTTAAAATTGCCTATCGATTTATCTCAATGTTTGGACAGGACCACCGTAGGAAAGTCTATGTTTTGGCTGTGAAAGTCAAATTTGATTATTATTTTATTGACGTAATGTTAAAAATAACTTTATATTTTTATTTATTTAAAACAAGTCGTACAGTTAAATTTTAAATTTTAGTTTACATAAAAGAGTTGGCACTAATTCGTACCTATCTACTCGAACCTTCGTAAGTAAAATTGAGAAATATAATTTATTTATTATGGATTTTTTTTAACGTACCTATTTATTTTTTGATTTTAATTCCTTTGGGACAAATAATTGTATACCACTTTAATGATTTCAATTTTAAGAACACATTTAGAGGTGGGCAGTAACAAAACATTTACGGATTAGTTACTGTGTCCATCTCTAAAATCCCTAACTTCAAATGCAGCCTAGTGCTGTTTGAAATATGGACCCTATCCTGTTCGGCCATTATTATTTTAGGACTGTTATTTAGAAACTGTAATTTTGGAATTGTTATTTTAGTACCTACCGTTATTTTGAAGCTTTTTTTTTTTGAACTGATGGTTTGGAAATGTTTTTAAAAATATTATTTTGAAACTGCTATTTTGGAACTAATATTTTGAAACTATTAGATTTTTTAAATGTTATTTATTTTGTAACCAATTTTAAACCTGTTATTTCAATAGTGTTACTTTAAAACTGTTATTTTAGAACTGTTTTTTTTTTGGAACTGATGTTTTGGGAAACCCTTTTTTTACCAACGTTATTTTGGAACTTATTTTGAAACTATTAGGAAATGATTGTTTTTGAACTGTTATTTTGAAATTTTTATTTTGAAACTGTTGTAATTGCTACTGTTATACCATAAAAATAGTACATAATACTGTTCCCATATCCATATTTTAGATATGATGAATCGTCAACCAGAACTGACTCTCCAAAAACCACTCACCAAAGAACATTCAGATGATTTACTACGACTTAAAGGCGGTGTTATAGACGACGATCCGAAAGATAGACCAGTACAACCTCTAGTCGCAGGACAAACGAGTTGTCAAGGGGGACAAGGAGGACTTGGAGGCCTAGGAGGAGGCGGAGGTGGAGGGGGAGGAACAGGAGGACAACCAGGACAACCTGGGGGAGGTGTACAAGGTGGAGCAGGAGGAATAGGAGGAGGTGGTGGTGGTGGAGGAGGAAGAGAAACAGGAGGACAACCAGGGCAACCTGGGGAAAGTGTACAAGGTGGAGCAGGAGGAATAGGAGGAGGTGGTGGTGGAGGAAGAACAGGAGGAGGAGGAGGAGGACAACCTGGAGGCGGTGGACAAGGTGGTGCAGGGGGAATAGGAGGTGCTGGTGGTGGGAGAGGAGGAGGTGGAGGTACATCAGGACAACCGGGACAACCTGCAGAAAGCCAACCAAGTGGAAGAACACACGGTGGAGCTGGAGGACAGGGAGGGGGTTCACCAGGTGGCGCAGGAGCACCGGGAGCTGGAAAACAGGGTGGAGCCGGAGGAAAAGGAGGAGGCACATCGGGAGGTGCAGGAGGACCAGGTGGTGGAACTCAGGGTGGTGCTGGAGGACCAGGTGGTGGAACTCAGGGTGGTGCTGGAGGACCAGGTGGTGGAACTCAGGGTGGTGCTGGAGGCCCAGGTGGAGCCTCATGTGTGGCAGGTGGACAAGGAGGAACACCTGGGCAGCCCGGAGAAAGCGACAGTGGAGGTTGCGGCGTACAACCTGGACAGCCTGGTCAACCGGGGAAAAAAAGAGAAGGTGGTCAAGGAGGTGGTAGTGCTGGAGGTAACGTAGAAAAACGGGGACAAGGTGGTCGCGGAGGTGGTACTACCGGAGGTGCTGGAGGTAATGCGGGTCGAAAAGGACAACCCGGACAGCCGGGACAATCGGGAAGAGCAAAGGAATGAATGAGTAAAGAATAATAATAAACATTTTTTGATAAGTTTGCGAACAGAAACAACATAAAAAGGTAAAAATAAGTTAGTTATATTTTTTTTTTTGTATTTGTAAGGGGTTGGTTTTTTGTTTTGTACTATAACCAAATAGTTTTCAAATGTACCTAAATTAATAAAGTGCATTATAAAACGATAAATACAAATATAATTGAGGTTAGCTCCAACAAATCAATGTTTGATATGTATATAGATTCATATAGCGTTTGCGTAACAATTTTTCAGAGTAGCGGTTAAAGGTTATGAATATATTAATTCAAAATCGTAGATACTACTGTAATAATAAAAATAATTGGATTATATACCTTTCAACGCATATTTCTAATCTTTTGAACTACAATTAATTTGCTAATGCCTTCGAATTTTTTGTTGCAGTGCCGATCATTCCTGATTACCTTTTTTCCAACGAGATAAACGTCAGCACCAATGATAACCACATTGGTCCGGCGTCTCTAAGTCCGCTCCAAAGAAAATTCGAAGAACTGGAAAACGATAACGGACCCCTAGGAGCGCTGCTCGCTTCCAAGGCTTTCGTTCAGCTGGCTTGTACGCCCTTAGTCGGATACCTAGTGGGGATATTGGGATGTTACGTTCCACTTCTGGTCGGATCTTGTAATATGCTACTAGCGTCTATTCGTAAGTTTAGATTTTTTGTTATTCTTCGATATCATAATCGGTAAAATTACTTTATACTTTTGTATTCTAGTTTTCGCCTGCGGTAGTACTTACGGAATACTAGTACTAGCGAGAGCCCTGCACGGTAGCGCTTCGGCAGCCGTAGCTGTAAGCGGAATGTGTTTGCTGGCCAAAAAACTACCGTCACATCTAAGAGTCAGATTGATGCCCATCTCATTCGGTGGTATCGCCTTAGGAGTTCTTATTGGTTACCCGTTAGGCGGAGCTGCTTACCAAATGATAGGAAAATCAGCACCGTTCATTCTAATTTCAATCTGCATTGCCCTTACTATGAGTAAGTTATTATTTACCTTCAACTGTAAGTTTAAAAAAAAATCATTCAGTATTGCAGATTATTTATCTAAAAGAAGAGCAGTTAGACACAAATCTACAGACAACGAGGAAAAACTACAAGGAGTGTTTGGAACTGCTTAGAGACAAACCAACTCTTATAGCAGCGTCTGCTATATGCGTTTCTACATCAACTATGGCGATTTTGGAACCATGCGTTCCGATGTGGTTGTTGGCCAGATTTGATCCTCCGCCGTCCAGATGGCAGTTAGGAGCGGTTTTTATTCCAGACAGCGTTGGGTACTTTATCGGATCGCATTTTGCAGGTAGGGTCCGTTTACAATTAGAAGAACACAGCTACATCATTTTGCAAAGTAGGTAATTAATTGATTTATCGCCGCCTACTGGGGGTTTAGTGGAGTGTTTATATTATAGGAATATAGGAAATATTGTTTTATACCTAACAACAGTAACAACTTTACTTATTTTTTATTTATTGATAGTTCCAGATATGTATTCGAAATTCGAAATAATGGTTATGACGTAGCGGTGTTCTTCTAATTATAATCGGACCCTAAGTATGGGTGTGCTGTCAATACAATACAATTATTCCTACTTCTCGATAGTCTTTATACAATTTGATGATTTAAATCAATTAATATTTATTTTCTAGGATTGTTGCCCATGTTTTCTTGGAGGACGGCCATCATAGCGATGGTAATTACTGGACTTAGTTGTTACGCTCTTCCTTTAGCTAATACAATGTCCGAACTAGCGTTACCCCACTTCGGGATTGGGTTAGGAGTGGGGGCAGTAGATGCGGCTCTGATACCCCTTTTAGGTGAGACTCCAAATCCAAATGAATCTAGTCAAATAAAAATTCGTGTCAATATAAAACGCCATAAAGGCTTCGGGAACCTTAATAGACTTTGTTATCGTCTTGTACTGTAACTCACGAATCTTGTTCTGTAGCTAATTGTACTCATATTGTAGCATCCTTCGCAGACAACAAGGGAACAAACGAGTATGGACCAGTTTACGCTCTTCAGCAAGTGGCAGTGTCCATTTCGTATTCGTTTGGACCTTTACTTGGCGGACAAGCGGTCCAAATATTGGGATTTTCATGGTTAATCAGAATAGTGGGATTCTTGAATTTGTTGTTGTGTCCATTGCTACTCGAATTGGAAGAAAATAAGGTATTTGAACCACATGACAAGGATGACATCAGTCATATGATTAAAAAGTCTTAATCGTATAATACTTTAAATTTGATTTTTTTATTACAGGAAGGAATACCTTTGATGAGTTCACCAGTGTCAGTTTATTCTCAATTGGAAGAGTAATTTTAAGTTACAAAATAAATGTTATGTGGTGATAACGATTAAAGTTGATGTTAATAAAAATTACATACCACAGTATACTTGTACCAATATATTCGCACATAAACGCATTTTAGTCGTATTTCAATCGAATGACGTTACTTGGGTATGGTTTGTAAATGTCAACACGCCTTTTTATTTAAACATCTTTAAACAAACATCTTAAACATCTTCAAACATCTTTAAACATCTTTAAACATCTTTAAACATCTTTAAACATCTTTACACGTCTTTAAACATCTATAAACATCTTTAAACATCTTTAAAACATCTTTAAACATCATTAAACATCATTAAACATCATTAAACATCTTTAAACATCTTTAAACATCTTTAAACATCTTGAAGCAACTTTAAACTTCTTTAATCAATTTTAAACATATTTTAAACATCTTTAAAAAAACATCTTTTAACATTTTTAAACATCTTTAAACATCACTAAACATCTTTAAACATCTTTAAACATCTTTAAACATCTTTAAACATCTTTAAACATCTTTAAACATCTTTAAACATCTTTAAACATCTTTAAATATCTTTAAACATCTTTAAACATCTTTAAACATCTTTAAACATATTTAAACATCTTTAAACATCTTCAAACATCTTTAAACATCTTTAAACATCTTTAAACATCTTTAAACATCTTTAAACATCTTTAAACATCTTTAAACATCTTTAAACATCTTTAAACATCTTTAAACATCTTTAAACATCTTTAAACATCTTTAAACATCTTTAAACATCTTTAAACATCTTTAAACATCTTTAAACATCTTTAAACATCTTTAAACATCTTTAAACATATTTAAACATCTTTAAACATCTTTAAACATCATTAAACATCATTAAACATCTTTAAACCTCTTTTAACAACTTTTAGTTCGCAGTGTATTAACACCCCATTTTCAACATAACATAACTTTGCCGCGTTTGAGAATCCACATCGGATGCATTTTTTACATCTCGAGCGTTTTTTTATCCACATCGGACACATCTACTACATCTACATCTGCATTTGTTTATCCCAGATGTACCTGTTCAGATTACATTTTTTACATCTCGATTTGAAATGAGATGTTCGTTCCATGCCAGAAAGTAAGTGTTGTGTGAAGTCTTGTTTGTCAATTTATCCTTTGTTTATGCTAGCATGAATATAAAAGTGATTAGTTTGTTTAATTTTTGTTTATATTTCAAATTTAGGTTGATTTGTAGTCTCAAAAGTCAAATTTAAAAAATATAAACTTCTAACACAGCTTATACAATACAGCTAAAACACTCTCTTGGCGGCAACGGTTTGCGTCGATTTCGTCGCGCATCGCTTAAGCTCCGCCTTCGAAGGGAAAAGACGGTTTTGGCGTTCAGAAGCGTACTTAGGCAAGGTGTTGAATCGTGCGTATAATTTCGTTGATTGTATAATTTCGTGGAGCCTATAATTTCGTTGATTTTGTTTGAGTTAAAGGTACTGTTATTATTTTGGTGACTCTTTAGCTGTGAGTAGAATGAGTTTGTGCAGTCAAAAGCTGTTTTAATAAGGGTTATACCTGCAAGAAAACATTCTTTAGTTTTCCCAAGGACCCAAACCGATAAGTACTACATTATACGAAATTTTCATTGTTAAAAATATAATTTATACAGGGTGTCTCATTAGTGCGTTATTGTTCATTATTTTGTTGTAGACACGCAAGAAAGTTTTAAATAAAAGTTATATGGATTTGAAAAATACCTACATATTTTAAAAATATCTTTGGATATACAGGGTGTCACGTTTTTGTCTGGAAAATTAAAATGTATGTTTTTTAAATGGAACACCTTGTATTTTATTTTATGATGAAATTATTAACACCCTAAATTATTGTAAAGACGAATTGCTACAGAAAAATTTTATCAGGTATGTGTGTGGTTACCTTTTAATAAAAGCCTTGCGGATCCACTCCTGCGATACCTGTCTTAAATATAACAAAGATCACGTTGAATTAGACGATTTTTCTTTTTATTGTTTTTAAAAGGCATATGATAACGCTAATTCAGATACATTTGGAAATCTGCAACTGTCAAATGATGAATTTGTAGAACTAATATTCAATATTGAAAAGATATTTTAAAATAATTTTGAAGAATTGGCTACAAAAAATAACATTTGTACCACACTTTTAGAATTAATTAACCCAATACCCTTTAGTCATCCATGCTAACGTTTTCCAAAAGAATAACTTATTTTATTGTATGTTTAATCTCAATAACTAAAAAATATACTGACAATTAGTTTGACAGAATTGTCATTTATTTAAAATTTTAAAAATAATAGCAATCGGTTGATCAAAATATGAACGGTGATTGGCGAATTTATTTTTTTTTGCAGTGTTCTCACTACCTAGAATGGATATGAAATATATTCGTTCAATTGAAGGCAATAGCATACTTTTTCGTTTTGTAATCTGTGCATGGATATTAGCCAATCTACGCACATACTACAAAACGAAAAATTATGTTATTGCGTTCAACTACGAATATATTTCATATCCATTTTAGGTAGTGAGAACACTTTAACAAAATTAAATCTACAAATCACAGTTCATATTTTTTTGGTCACCCAACTCCTATTATTTAAAAAATTTTAAATAAGTGATAATTCTGTTAAACTAATTGTCAATATATATTTTAGTTATTGATATTAAATATACATTAAAATTTTTGTGTAGACTCGATAAATAATAGCATTTTTGTTTTTATTATGTCCACATTTAAAAAAAATAAATTTTAATCAAACTACATGATACTAATTTAATTACGAGTATTAAAACTAAAGTCTTTGTGTGATATGGCTATCATATCCACCCTTGTTGAACAAACTACAATTTATTTGTTTTCTTGGTTTAAGTTTTACATCAGAAATAAGAACTAAATTAATTTACTTTTCAAGTTTTCTTGTAAAAATCGATATTACTTTCTCCAAGTACAAATTTAGTACCTACCTAAAATAAGTACTAATTATGTAATATCGTGTAATATTGTAATTCAAATTTCACATTACTATAAAGTTTCAAAATTCCCTACTTCGGTATGGTCAGATTAAAATTGAATATATTATATTAATAAAAACTGTTAAAGTATTACTTCTACAAATCTGTATTTCAATTAATAAGAATACATCTAAATATAACCAATATTGTTAAAATAAAAGCACAAATTCTTTATAATTCCAAAATACCATAGAGTTCCAGAGACCTCAGTCGAAGCATTAGTTTATCTAGGTATAAACCCTTTGCGCGAAGAGTAACACTTGCCAGAGACCACTTGATTTGCATCCACGAGCGTGACACATTTCTTTAACAATTGAAGCCCTTGGTGTAAAAAGGATCCAAGTCACAATTTGTCGTGAAGTGACTGTTTTAGCTCAAAACATTTGTTAACGAGGATTTTACTAGCCACATACAAATTATTTTACCTCTAATCCGAAAGATGTGCTATTTTTCGTAATATTTATATTTAAATAATTTTTTTAATTATATTTGACAGATTTAAAACAAATTAAAGATTTAATTTCCCAAAACTTACTTAACATGGCATGTAACCAACCTTATTACGTCAAGGTTTTCAATTTTTTCAATAATAAAAAAATTGCTTAATCCGGGCCTGACTTTTCCCTTTAATCTAACAGAGATAGCACCATTCCGTCTTGCTTGGTTCTCGACCGCCAGATCAAAGACGCCGACACGGAGTTGTGGAGCTGTATTGTATAAGCTGTGCTTCTAACTTGTCATTAACATTTTATCACGTGCCCAAATAAAGTCTAGAACGTTTGTTTATTACACCTACATTCAGATCTAATTCTCTATCACGTGACAAAAAATTCACAACATCTCAGATGCATCCGATGTGGATTCTCAAACGCGGCAATTGTCATTGTTATTTTATCACGTGACCAATAAAGTCTAGAGCGTCTGTTTATTACATTTACATTTAGATATAATCCTTTATCACGTGATAAAAAATTCACAACATCTCAGATGCATCCGATGTGGATATTCAAACGCAGCAAATAATGGCTATAACATATGGTGAACAAACTATACCTACTGGCGACTGCGGTAATCCCCAAATTATACTATTTGATAAGATAAGGTATGTTAATATGTGGTCCTATTTAAAGTTCATTATTTACTTTGTAGTAATTAATAATGAATTAAATTTGAATAATCCAACCACCACCGGAATATTTCATATTCGGTTGTGACCTGAAATGATGTATTTATTTTATGTTTATTGTAAATTGTGTTTAGTGATTTTGTGTTTTTAATAAATATTATGGCTTTTATACGAACACAAAGTAACAATTTACCAGTAATGGTAATGGTAACCGCATTCATGAAAAGTAATAGATTGTTTTAACCAAAAGAGAAGTAATAAAAGAATGGTAAGTACCTATTAGGGCAAAGTTAATTGGGACATTGAATATTGTTTTAATCGGTAAAGAAACCGTGGATGAATTCATTTTTCAAGAACACGCCGTAAAGGTTATAACAATCTTTTAGCTGATTATGTGTAATTCTGAATTAGTTTTCGAAAGAACCAAAACAAGCCTTCAAAAAGTTATTAAAATTCAAATAAAATAATAAAATATTATTTGTACTTTTGTAACACTGTTTTTGTTTTGCTTACATTGATTATCTCTATACGTATAATATGTCTATATGATACACGTACCTAGGTATAGGATATAAAATCAAATCTACTTTCTTTTTTTCTTAATATTTACTTAGGTCCGCTCCATTTACCCAAGAGTGTTTTAAATCTCGTGTAATAAATACCCTGAAATTTTTCCTCGTCGAAAACTACCCCTCTAACTCGATTAGTTTCCATGTATAACTTGATCTCTTTGTTTATATAGTAAGTTAAGAAGAATCGGTTCTGTTTATTTGCCATTTGCTGAAGGTCTACGAGGAATTGAACAAAGCGCGGCGTGACACGCGTTGAGAATTAATAAAATTCTGCTCTATTTCAACAGATGAACAGATCCATAATCATTAGTTGGTTTAATATTTATTTCGAGGGCAATTATTTCTTGAATACGCATTTCGATGTGTACAGGAATATTTCAAAGGGGAAAAAACGAAAAAAAAAATACTTTTCTGTTCTTTTCCATATAGTTAGAAAAATTCCGCATCAGATAAACTAGGAAAAATAGCAAAATCTCACTCGGATTATTAAAAAAACTTTAAACAAATTTACATATCTCAACTTCACTTGTACTTACTAAAAGGCTTAGGGGTATGCTATTATTACTAAGCTAAATGACTGCATATCCATATATGACGCAATAACTTCCAAAATAATATTCAGAAACAAAAAATAATTATAAGTAATCCAGCGGTATCTAAATTATTTTCTCTATACTCGCTTTAAGTGAGATAACGCTTTTTGGCTTAGGAGGGCAGTATATGTTTTGCTACAAACTGATGCCATACTAGAATTAAGCTATGTATACAAAAAAAGCTCAATTTAATTTAAAAGACTCACCATTCGAGACCGCTCATTGCCCATTAACTCTCGTCACAGCATTTCTATCCATCTTCTATAATATCCATTATTTCCAGTACATTTTTCCTATAAACTCGGAAAATCTATTCCCGACGAGACATTAATGATCGTCATATCATGTTCAATTCTATATAAACCCTTTGATACGTTAGATTTTTCAAAATAGACGTATCTCAGGCCAGGTACATCTGAAGATACTATAATGTAGAGCAAAGATCTACATTGAACATCAAAAGACATATACACTTTAAGAGCAAACGTCTTTACTGTCAGAGGTAAAATGAACATGACCTCAAACCAAATGATATCGTGCTATCGATTAACTCGCGATTTAAATTTTTTGACGGTTATTCGCTGAAAAGAAAAACAATTATTAGGAAATTTGGAAAATTTCAGAAAGGAAGGATATTATTGATTTTTTTTCTATTTAAAGATTTACAAAAAATATTATTAGTTAGTCTGTATACTATTTTTTATAAGAAGTAAATTTTAATTTTTGTTTTTTATATTGGTGTCATCAGATATGTTGACTGAATGAATTAATCAATTCACAATACTAGAAGTCATTTCTTTAAATGTTCAAGGATAATAAATAATTAACCACAAGAGGTGAGAATTAACAAATAGTCTATTTCGTATTAACTAGTGTCTAGTAAAATTAGAGTATTTTGTGAATTATCTTTTTTTTTATTTAAATTTAAAAATCTCTCAATATTACTAACTTTAGATATAGAGAATACTTTACTCAAATGAATCTTTGTACTTTTAAATGGTATTATAAAATACAGGGTTGTCAATTTTAAAAAACTGAGTTTTTACTCACCCTATACACATTTGTTTCTAATTGAATCGGCATAAATTTTGACTAATATTGAAAACCTTTTATAGCAAATAATTGGTTTTTAATTGTTTCTTTTGCACTCTACAGGTCAATGAAATCCATACGATTTTTATATAAAACTGGTTATAGCATGTGAAATACTCTGTATAATCTTATACTATTTGGTATAGTTACAATGGAAGAAGCGAGGGCAATATATAAAATAAAATATAGAGTGTTTCATTTAAGAACGTAACTTTGATATGTATTACTTTCTTGGAGAACCCTGTATAATTAAAATTATTTTTAAATTGTTGCCTTTTCTGATATACATCTTGGTGTGAAAACAAATTTTAGAAAATCATATAGTTTTGGCCCTACAGACCGAGGAGTTACCGGTGGTCCACCCTGTATGTATACACATTTTTAAATTAAAGTATTTACCGTAAGGGAAGATATTTAGATAATAATTATATGAGAAAATAAAACAACTCCAAATCATTCCCTTCTTAGTTTAATAATTATATATTTATGAATTTCAGTCTATCACCCTGTAGAATGAAAACTGGAACGTTTACAGGAAAATTATATAATAATTAGTTAAAATCTATAAACCCCCAGTTTACGGTACTTAATGCTAAAACACCCTGTATAACTTCTTTTTTAGATGTAATTTGAGATTTCTTTGATATTTGTAATTTAATTCACAATTTGGCAACGTTGTTGCTTCCAAGACATAATTTGTCAATCATAACCTTCAAAATTTAAATTTGTAATTACAATATTCTCGAAAAATATTAATGATAGTAAATTAGCAAAAAAAAAACAAATAAATGCACTGATTGATATCATAACAAAGAGAAAAATATTGTAAATTAAAAAATGTAATAATATTGATTTATTCATAGGTACACTTAACTTATTCAAGCAATATTAGTTGTCAATAATTTACGAATAAATATTAAAGGTATGTACCTATTTAGAGATAAATAAATATTTTGTTTCAATATCTAAAACTAATACCAAATGAACTCACCGTAAGTTGGAAAAATAATTGTTGTTTATTATTTCTAACACGTACCTATAAAGATAAATCACTTTTTTTTGAAAATGTTTCACTTTCACTTAATAACACTTACAAGTAGCCACCATCTTTTTAATTATTCTATATAATTTTCTGATTGGTCGTTGTAGTCGTCGTTCACAGACAACTTGATCATTATTATAAAAATATTCCGAAATTGTGACAGAATGAAATGAATTCAAATCAAGGTCAAAGTTTATACAGGATGATCCACTTTATTTTTAAGAATATTCAAATATATTTTTCTTTTTATTTTGAATACAATAATTATTATTTCATGCTATTTTTGTGGTAATTTCGATACTATCGTTAGTATATTGTAGCAATCAGGGCCGTACCAAGGCACATTTTCTTTGGGGGAAGATAAAAAACAAACTAAATTGATTTTATGTTTAGTTGTAGTTAAATTTATTTATTTGCTGTTTTTCTTTTAAAACAGCTCCGGACTTTAATATATGATTTAATAAAATCTTTATTTTGCTTGCCTTTATTAAGTAAGTATAGGGAATACCTTAAAAGGGAATAAACTAATTTTAAATTTTATAAAATATTTTTGAAATATTTAATGAGTAGGCACTGGTCCGATATTTGGCGAGAAAGGAGAGTGATATTTCAAGAACATGTAACCATGAATTCACGAAATTTAAAGAACATTGACCCTAACAGTTTATATAGGATTTTTCTGTTTGAAAAATACAAGAGTGTAGTGGGGGAGACTAGATGGTGTAGAGTGGGAGGAGTAGAGTGGGGTACAGTTGAGCGGGTAGAGTGTGTCTTTCTCTCTCTCTCTATCTCTCATCTATCTCTATATCTCATATCTCTCTTTCTATTTAATTTAGTTATGTATTAATTTTTAGGTTGATTCGTTCGCTGTAAAAAGAAATTCTATATGTTATTATTACTGGTACTTTCTATAATGTTTATTTAAATGTTGCACCTACACATAAAGCTTTAAAATACATTTCAAAGCTATAATAAAGATTTATTAACAAACGACAATAAATTCCATGCAGAAATCTAATAATAAATCACCCTATAATACAATCTTAATTAAATAATAAAAAATAAACTTAAATCAACAAATCTATAAACAACAACACGTTTTTGTACAGTTTTATCACAAAATAAACTATTTTATCTAGCATTTACATTTACTCTGTCAGTCGCCCTGCACTGATCGCACTCGCAAATCCCTTGCACCAGCACAGGACTCGGCAAAATGGGCTGGGGTAATTGGTAATTGAACAGCGGCCAGAACGGGTATAGACTGAAAGTCTTGTTGGTGGGAATGAAGGAGAAACTCCCGGAATGCGGGACCATGTACGGTTTCGATTTGCTGCCATTTTTGACAGGTCGAAACGCTGACGCTGATTCATCCGATTCGGAAGTTTCTTGGCTGTTGTTTATGTTGACGTGCTCTATGGCTTTTCGTAGGTCGTGGTTGCATCTGAAATATAAAACATGATAGTTACTATTTCGATCAAATATATAAAAACGGAAGAAAATAAAAACCTAACAAGAGGATAGTTCTAAAAAATTCACCAGGGGGGCTATTTTCAAAACATGGGAGCACTCATTTCTCTCAAGATTCTCATCAGAAATGTCATACGTCAATGTGGAAATGTTGTTTTTAAAGGCATCGAGGATTAAAATTCTTAGGAAGATTTTAATTATCTCTAAATAAACCGAGAGAAACAGTCAGTGAGTTCACACTGGGCCTAAGAGCCCTAAAAATACGGTTTTACGTTGACGTATGACATTTCTCTTGAGAGAATTGAATTTTCTCGAGTTTGAAAATAGCCCCCCAGGGGGTCAATTCTCGACTTGTAGGAACCTTTTTCTATAGGAATTTGTGACACTTTCCTATATGTAGGAATATGTCATAAATTTTCGATGTATGTAAAAATGTCAAAAATTTCTATAGTAAAATATTCCTACGAGCCGAGAATCGACCCCCAGAGGTGGTTAATTACTGATGTACTCGTTTAACCTTAGAATATTAAGTAGTAAGAAAGGAGTGTGTGCATATTTCCAATAGAAAACGTACGTAACAAAGTCTGCCATTTTGGATAACCATTTATGACTCATTGATTGTGTGTCATTTGAAAGTTGGTTTTTGTATTATATTCTGCAAGTTATTAGTTGTTGAACCATTTTTAGTCATTAATAGAATAGTTAAAATATAATTTCTTATTTTAGTTCAATCATACATAATGTTTAGTGCAATAAAACTAGTAATAAAGACAATTATAGTACTTTTTGATGATCAAAGAATGCTAAAAACGACTTTTTGAAAATTATTATTCATCGTAACACCATTCATTTTATAGGTCTAAGTAATATGTATTTTACATTAAATTTTATGTAATACATCATAGCTGTTTTAAACCTAAAATTGCCACTGATATGGGATGAGTATTATGTTAAGTTATATTTAGGGTTTGGTTCATCGAACACAATGTTTAATTTCAACTTGTCACTAACATTAAGAAAATTGATCAACTCTTTTTAGATTAACACGTTCATTTAGCTCTTTTTAATTTTACACATACAATATAAAAACAACTATAAACTAATGTAACGTAGCCATCTTGGATAACCATCTTAGTAACCATCTTTCCTTACTACTTTTGCCGCGTTTGAGAATCCACATCGGATGCATTTTTTACATCTCGAGCGTTTTTTTATCCACATCTGACACATCTGTCCCATTACATTTACGTACACTGAATCACGTGATCAAAGATTTACTACATCTCAGATGCATCCGATGTGGATTCTCAAACGCAGCATTTATAGTCTAAGAAATATGATTTGATGTGTAGAGGAAAGGAGAAATATATCTGTTTACAAAAAGTATGCCTTAAAATAGCGTTACTGTATCAGAATGGACTTGAAAGCGCCAAAAGTTGTGACAGTCGATAATTCATTACACAATTACACCAATGATGTCTATAATTACATAGATTGCTTAGGATTGATTCCACCGTTGTGTTAAACGGAGATTAAAATGACGTTGTTAATGTAAAAATGTCATTTTAAACTTCGTTTAACACAACGGTGGAATCGGTCCATACATATATTTAAATAAGATAACCTAAAAACTACTTAATACGTTTCCCCTTACCTCTTTAAAACCAATTCCAACACGGTACGTTTCTTATTCGGAAACAGCTGAGCCAACATGTCGATCGAAGCCGAACTCACTTCGATCTCTTCTGGCTGATCCTGTTCGGGGCTGATCGTACATTCGGTTTTCTGAGAAGCAGTTTCTGGTTCAGGAGAAGTGACTTGCATGCCGAATATTCGACCTGGGGGCAGGTACTCGTAGGTGGTGCCGCTTTCTTTGGCGGCTAGATGTAGAGCTATGGCGTCTTCGGCAGCTTGTTGACGTTTCAGAGCCACCTTGCAAATGTATTTTTATTGAATCACAAAATGATAAATGCGCAAAGTGTTATTAGTAGATGAATAAAGGTGTTTTGTTGTTTGTTGAAATGGTAAAGACATACGACATTGTTGTGTATTCAATAAAGGATAAACTATCTTTATTGGAACACTGAACAAGACAGTTTTAAATAAGCGAGCCAGGACAGACGCTCCTGTGCCGCCAAAACTCAATGAACTGGAGGGGGGTAGAATGCCAATGTACATGTTGTACTATTAGAACTAGGTGCGACTCTATGGGCGCAGCCATTTTTATTGTTCATCTCACTCGGGACTATTTATAATAAACATTTTCTGTTTCACATTGTTATTGTTCAATCCACAAGCTGGTGGATCAGACAATAACAATGTAAAATAGAAAATGGTTATTTTAAATACTCCCGAGTGAGATGAAAAATAATCTATCTTCGAACATAGAGTCGCACATCAAGTCTATTGACAAGCATTCTACTCCACTACAGGGGGACTATTTTCAAAGTATGGGAGCACTCATTTCTCTCAAGATTCTCATCAAAAATGTCATACGTCAATGTGGAAATGTTGTTTTTAAAGGCATCGAGGATTAAAATTCTTAGGAAGATTTTAATTCTCTCTAAATAAACCGAGAGAAACAGTCAGTGAGTTCACACTGGCCCTAAGAGCCCTAAAAATACGGTTTTACGTTGACGTATGACATTTCTCTTGAGAGAAATGAATTCTCTCGAGTTTGAAAATAGCCCCCCCGGGGGGCTATTTTCAAAGTATGGGCGCACTCATTTCTCTCAAGATTCTCATCAGAAATGTCATACGTCAATGTGGAAATGTTGTTTTTAAAGGCATCGAGGATTAAATTTCTTAGGAAGATTTTAATTCTCTCTAAATAAACCGAGAGAAACAGTCAGTGAGTTCACACTGGCCCTAAGAGCCCTAAAAATAAGGTTTTACGTTGACGTATGACATTTCTCTTGAGAGAAATGAATTCTCTCGAGTTTGAAAATAGCCCCCCGGGGGGCTATTTTCAAAGTATGGGAGCACTCATTTCTCTCAAGATTCTCATCAGAAATGTCATACGTCAATGTGGAAATGTTGTTTTTAAAGGCATCGGAGATTAAAATTCTTAGGAAGATTTTAATTCTCTCTAAATAAACCGAGAGAAACAGTCAGTGAGTTCACACTGGCCCTAAGAGCCCTAAAAATACGATTTTACGTTGACGTATGACATTTCTCTTGAGAGAAATGAATTCTCTCGAGTTTGAAAATAGCCCCCCAGGGGGTCGATTCTCGACTCGTAGGAATTTTTTCCTATAGGAATTTTTGACATTTTTCTACACATCGGAAATTTATGACATTTGTCTACATGTAGGAAAGTGTCACAAATTCCTATAGGAAAAGGTTCCTACAAGTCGAGAATTGCCAAAACTACATGATATGACTGTTGACTTATGTCATCAGTCATTGCATGTTTACAACTTAGACTTCGACTACTAACTAAACTTACAATCAACATGTTTCTAAATTTAGCATATTTAATAGTTAGTCTTCATCAGTAAGTTGTGAGTGTATTAAAGAGAAATGACTTATATTTTCTTTAGAAATATTTTTTTTCGCATTTATGTCTGCTCTCTATATGAGAAATTCAACGGATACCTTACATATTTATTTCTCCTATTATTTTTTGCTAGGTACTGTAGTTTAAAACAATTTTACTGAATCAAAGCTGAGTTTTACTTGTTTAAAAAAGGTTCCTAGGTACTAGAAGCTACCTAAATACCTAAATAATTTATCTCTAATATCTAATATTTTCATTTGGCTATTTTTATTGATAGGTTAATCAATCAGAAGCGACTTTATTCAAGTAAGGGGATATTTTGACATTATGAAGTGGTTGATCGATATCTATTCCATTAGAACCAGTATCGTGTATCTTTTGAGCAAACACAAAGGGGTCTTCTACAACTCAGAACTATTTGCACAGTTTTGCGATATTACATTTTAAATATTCATCATAAATCTGGGAATTTGATACACAGAGAAACGTATATAAATTATAAATCTTTAAAAAAAGTTATTTGTGTAATTTACGTTATTATTCTGATTAGTTACATTTTATTTTGGACTTTTTAATAATTTATATAATACTAATAATAATAATAATAAAGTATGTACTTAGGTAGGTATACAACGCATATACCTAGAGTACCTATAGAATCTTTAATAGATGTTTGGCAAATAAAAATTTGTACAAAAACTTGGCTCGTGCTCATAATTGATTGCACTTATCTAAACTGCTGGCGACTCGAACTTACACATTGAGATTTTTAGGCAAAGTTTAAAGTTCAATATTTTCAACAAAATTGCAAATTATTGAACGCCGCTTGCAGATTATAAGAGTCAGTTTTTTTCGGATTATGCTGCATAACGTATATTTACTGTAGAACCATAGGTTTATTATATACGGGGTGATTAATGAAGTCATGCAAAAAATCAATATGCAATATGGTTTGTTACTAAGGTAACACAAATATCTCTAGACGTTTTTGTCAGTTTTTGGATTAAGGTCCTTAGGTTTTGTATTCATCTATATTTTCGTTCAAGAACAACTCAGCTGAGATCTGCTTATAAATAAGGGCCTTAAAATTGTTTAAATAACATTATTCTTTAATTTCAATTGAATAAAAAATCTACTTATTCAGGTATTCCTAATAAATATATATCTATGTATATTGTATAGTCTTGTCTTACCTGAGCTGCCATAATTCGCTGTCTTTCTTTAATGAGACCGCATTTTTGACAGGAACAATTTTTATAGATGCATTGCTTTTTGTGACCCCTTAATGTAGAGATCATTCCATGGTTTCTGCATCTGGCACATTTCGGAACCCTCCCCGGTTTCGAATGATGTGAGGCCATCTGAAATAAAAAAAAATTGAAATTATTTTTCTAAGATTCCAAAAATATACCTACATTGTTGTTTATTTTTTAAAATATACTTTATTTAACCCTTAACAATTAGGCAATACATTAATCTTTCCACTATTTATTTTGTATTATTTTGATAATATATTTGAAAAATATTTTAAGTAGGTAGGTAAGTAGGTATGATCTTTATTTTATTAAAAAAAAAAACCAATGTTTTTTGTACCTAATATTATGTTACCTTTATCGTCCTATGAAAGTGTTTGTAAATATGGAATCAGAATGTTTTAAATTTTTGCAAAACCAACTACATCTTGTTGATTAAAATTCTATTACTAGATTTTTGGTTATACAATGTGCATTTTTTGTGCATCGATTACCTAAGACAAGATAAATTGCTCGAACAAGTTTGTGAACCTTAATCAAAAGGTGATATACGTCTAAATTTTTCTCCACTGTCCAAAAACTTATTTGGATTATATTTCTACATTTTTTTTATATTTTTTAAATAAATCACGTACCTACTCTTGTTAGGAACTCAAAAAGTGATTGGTATTAGAGATATTCACACTCAAAGGTGGATTTTCATTTTTATTTATTTTAAAATTTTGTAATTTTGATTTATATTTATAAAATCCCACTAAGCAAACGAATCATAAGATAAACAAATCTGCAAAAAATCAGTGACGTACGTAAGTAACACCTGCATTGCTTCTAAATTTTACGCCAATCTCCAAAAACTTATTTCATCTACAATTTTGAATTTTTTAGGTTTTTTAAATAAATCATGTAGATACTGTTGGGAACTTATAGAAAAATCCAAAATTACAAACTTTAAAAATAAATTAAAATGATGAATATCCACCTTTGGGTGTGAATTTCTCGAAAACCAATCACTTTATAAGTTCCCAACTAGAGTATCCACATGATTTATTTAGAAAGTATTAAAAATGTAATAGTAGGTATAATCCAAATAAGTTTTACATGGCGTAAAATTTAGAGGGGATGAAAGTGTACGCCACTGGTAAAGTTTATTTAACTTACTGTTTTGCTGATAGGTGTATCTTACGACATCAACAATGTATATCAAATTTAGCAAAATTACACCGAAAAATAAAAAAAAATATAGGCGTTATTAATTTTTTAATTTTCAACTTTAACACCCTGTATTTAAGAAACCAGTAATATTTTATCCAAGTATGTTTTGCTTGATCGTCTTATTTTTAATCAGAGAACCTTCAGTTATTCTATCCCATTTTTAATGAGACATCCTGTATATTCATTCAAAAATACATTTTTTGTTTCCAGTCTTTTTCGCTACATTAATTACAATGTAACTTTTTTGTACCTATGAACTTTTTTAGATAAGGTATGTATGGGTGAGTAAGCTCTTGAAGACAGGCAAACGTGAAAGATAATTTTCGTCAATGTTGCCAGTTCTACTGTTTTAACAGTAGATCTACTGAATTTAAAATCTACTATTCTCATTGAATATCTATATCTAATTAAAAATTACTATTTTTTTTCAATAATTTTAATAAAAATAGGAACTTTTTACCCTATTTTTGCAAATAATTAAGGGTTTGATTGTGAGTCATAAAAATAAAGACAACACAGTGGTAGGTACCTATTTTCAGATTCAGTTTTTCAAGAAGGTTTATGTTTATTTTGTTTATTTAGTTATTTTTTTTTAATATTTGCATTTACTTTTCTTTTAATTTATTTACTAATTTGTTTTTTCAAGAATTATTTATATTTATACCTACATACCTAAAGTTGTAAAATTTTTTCAAACATATTTACCTATTTATGTTTATTTTACTAAAATTTACAATATTAAAGAAATATTATTTTTTAATCAAGTTAGCATTTAGTAGATAAGTAGGTGAATATTAGTTGCCGTACCTACAGGGTGACTTGAAACAAATAAATATAACGAAACCTCTCTCACCTTAACTCGCTAGAATATGTCCAATCTCCACTATTCCATTTATAAAACAAACAACAACTCGAAAATCACTTGAAAAACATGTACCTACACTGTATCACCTCCTGAATAAAATATAACATAAATCTTGTATACAGATACCTATTCGAATACAAGAATAGAATGATACGAATAAAAAGATGTTCAGCATTTCCTGGGATGATACAGCCGCGGTTCGATATTGCGACCAATAGGGTTTCAGGACGATCTAGTCTCCCTCTGCATAGGATGTCGCCCGGACCAATCAAGCGGCTGGGAATGCTGAAATCCCGCCCGTTTTGGTACCTATTCGGTGATTAAAATAGGTACATACCTACGATAGTCTCATACACTATTTATTATTGGTAATAGAATATAATAAAAAAAATTGAGCTGCAATATCTAGATCAAAATTCGGTTGTTTCTCGTGATAATAAAACTTAGGACAGAACAAGATCAGACCACCATGTAATTTAGGTATATAAATAGGTACATATACTTTAGGTATACACTCAGAAAAAAAAATGTTTTGTACCTAATTAACAAGATTTGTTTTTATTAACATTATGTCGTTATACCTATCTACATAAAACTGTATCTCACTTAGGGCCAGTCTTTCCTTCAACCTCTGAGTAAAGTTAAAAGTAACAAGGTACTCGCTGATTAAACTTTAGGGCTATTGTCTACATGTAACTTTACTCAGAGGTGAAAAGATCGACCCTTATTAAACTTAAATGATTTATTTTTCATCAGTTCGTCAGACATTTAAATATTAACAAATAAACTTATAAATAATTATGGTAATTAACTTTATAACTTACAAAAGTGAATCTTTAACCATTAACAAAGCAATTAGTTAAGAAATAAATGGTACAGTAGTAACAAATCATAATTATTAATGTTAACCATATAATATTTATTTTCAATTTCAATTAAATTAAGTTTTTATAGGTATCTACTTATATAGAAATGCTCAAACTGTTAACTTTTGGTTAGATCATTACCCACATAACATCAATGTTCTATTAATATACTAATAACGTTCTGTTTAAGATCTGTATACTTTTTAGAATGTTCTTAGAACATCTGTAGAATATACTTTGAAAGTTTATTCTAAAAAGTATATACGGAACACGTGCTTTAATAGGACATTCTTAGGCGATACTAAAAGTCATATATGTAGTATGTATATCATAGTCTGAGAACGTTCTATTTACTTATAGGTAAAAATTATCATAAAATATAAAACCACGATTATATACCTAGATATCTATATATTTTTTCATATGCCGCACTTAGCTGATCTGATATTTCACTAACAAACTCAGTAAAGTTTATGTCGTAGATAATGTTTTATCTTTATCATTGTTGTTCTGATGATTTTCTTGATTCTTATTGTTTGTTCGATTTCACACAGAAAAAATGAAATTCTTACAAAAAAAAATATGTATTTTCTTAAAGATATTTTCTTTAAATAAATACATAATTTCTTAATTAAAGATATTATTCTTACTAGAAAATTTCAGACTGATTCCCGGACACAATGCCATTTCAATAACAAATTGCATTTTAAATTAAATGAATCCATTAATTAATGACACACCAAATAAGTTGTTCGCGCAGAGTTACGACAGAGCGTCAGTCATGAGCGGAGGTATGAATAGGGTACAAAAAATGATTAAAGATAAGTATTCTTTAGCAAATTATGTTCATTGCTATGCACATCAGATTAATCTTATAATGAGCAGTGCAGGTTCAATTAATGCGTCTGTTCGGATTTTTTTCGCTCATTTAACTGGAATTTGTGCTTTTTTTTCTACATCACCTCAAAGAACAAAAGTATTGGATGACATAGTTCATAGACGATTACCACGCTCATCACACATCACGAGGAGTTAATACAGTTTATGAATACTGATACACGTTATGGATATTTTAGAGAACGACAAAGATATTAAATTAAATTCTACGATTGAGCAGCCGATGCTTATAAACTTAGATTAGAGGACAGATATTTCATATTTTGGTTAACAGTTTTTCATAAAGTCATGGCACATGTCGAAATAATTTTTAAGCAACTGCAGACTATTAATATCGACCCTATCAAGGCTAAACAAGATCTAAAAAACTTTGAAAATGCAATGCAAACAATTCGTAATGAAATGGATAAAATTATTGACAAAATAGACTCGGAGCTTTCAGAAACCGAAGATGAACTTGTTCCTCAGAAAAGGCGACGTTACCCTCGTTCCGATCTATTTGTTTCAATAAATAGAAAAATAGAAGCCTTGGAAGTTTGCGATTCCATTATACAACAGATTAGGACACGATTCACTTTCACAGGACATCTGATAGCTGCCGCATATTATTCGTGAAAGAACATTTTATGGAATACCAAAAAAACTTTCCTGATCAATTGTTCTCTGATACAGTTAACGCATTACAATTTGCTAGAAAAAATCGTCTAAAAACAGAACTGCAAGTACTTTACGAAAGAGAAGAGTTGCAAACCATTTCTGGAGCCATTCCTTTGTTATCATTAGTTTCGCTGGAAGATATGAAGTACACTTTTCAAGAAACTATTAAATTACTGGAAGTTTTAGTAATAACACCTATGTCAACATCCGAAGCTAAAAGATGTTTCTCTCTGTTAAAGAGGATAAAAACTTTTTTACGCAACTCAATGAAAGAAGAAAGAGGAATGTTATGAGCTGAAAAAGTGTTTCTAAATAACATTGACGACTTTAATAGACGAGTGATTGGCCTTTTCGCTAATAAAACAGAACGAAGACTAGACTTCAAATATCGTTCGATTTAAATTAAATGAAATTAAAAATTTTTGAAGTGCTTGGTAGGGAAAAGATGGCAGAGGAAATCGTATAACTTATAGTAAAATTTCGTTGACAATTAGACTGCATTTATCAAATGGTGGTTTTTTAATTCTTATCTTTGCAATTCCACAGATAATCTGCCTTTTTTGCTATTTATATTTTTCTAAATTTTGAAATAGCGGCTTTTTGTCAAGTAAAATAATTGTTTAGAAGACAGTAGTGGACGTGGAGAAAAAATCTGATCGTTTCACAGTTGACAAATAGTGGCGCATTCAGAGTTTAAGTTTGGGGGGGTTAGTAAAAATATTAACTTTATATCTGATATAATTTAAAAACAAAACAAACAAAAAACATATAATACAAGTTAATTTAAAAAGAACAACTTTTACATTTATAATAAATATTAAACACATTTTAAAAACATTAATAACACGAAAGCTTATAAATAAAACATAACAAAAACAAACAAAAATATTTTCTTGGGCATAACATACTCGCATGACCATAAAACATGAATAGAAAAAAATTATAACGTAAAATCAAGTCATCTATTTCTATTATTTGCAAATCTATTTATAATATGGTCTACATTTACTTGAATGTCTCTGTGTATAAACATAAGTGATAGTCCAACTAATCTATCCTGACCCATTGTTGAACGAAGCCAGGTTTTAAGGCGCCGCAGAGAGGAGAAGCTTCTTTCAACTGAAGCTACACTAACGGGTAGAATGACCAAAACTTGTAGGCATTTTTTTAATAAAGGAAATATATTTTCATCACAAGACGAATATAAACCGATACCATCTGTATCGCTTTTTTTACGCTTTTCCAAATACTGAATTCAGATTTTAATTTTAAAAGTATTAAATCTCTGTTTCGGTTATTTTCAAATTTGCCTATATATTCCGCAACTACTTCAATCGACTGACTAATTTCAGTATCCGTTTTTGAATTGAAAATGGAAGGAAAAAATATATTGAACTCGTAGGTATTCTAAGATTCCTCGTTAAAACGAAATTGGAGATCTTGCAATATATTATCTAACAAAGGAATATAAATGCTAAGTCTAAAATAAGATTCGTTATTTTCTGCAGATATATTGGGGCGATGCGTTTGTGTCTGAGTAACTCTTCGTTTGATAATTTCTAAATTTAATTTTTTATTAATATCTGACTCTAAAGTAAAAATGGTCCTAAAATAAGTTTCGGAATTTCGACGTCTTTCTTTTAAAATGGTGATAACATTTTGTGTAAGCGTAGTAACATAGTATCAATTGACTTCTTTTGCAATATTTTACTTAAATTTACAGTCAAAGCTAAAATATCAAACAGAGAGCATAAAGAAACTATAAAAAAGGTGGAACCTATAGCATTTTTTAAACATTCTGCTTTTGAAGAGGCGTCCCGATCTTTCCAGTGGGAAATAATATTAAGAAGGTCTACAATGATTTGAATAGTACTTTGAAACTGAAGCACAGATTCGTGACGTTCAACCCATCTGGTCTCACAAAGACTTTTAAGCTGACTATGACCATCTAACTTTTGCTTAAGAAGAAAATTTCTTTTTGCGGAAGCTTTAAAAAATGCATTTACCTCTTTTATAATGCCAACGGCATTTCTAACACCTTGAACGTTTGAGCTTTTTGAAATAGATGATAAATTTAATGAGTGGCTGGCACAAGGACTTTTAAGTGCATTAGTTAATTGTTTTTTTAATTCAGTAACGGGTCCTTTTTGTTCACCAAGCATTAAGTTGCAAGTATCAGTTCCAATTCCTATACACTTATCGCAATTTAAATTAATTTTTTAAATAAAATTAAATAAGATTTGAGCCAAAATTTTACCACTAACTGTTGGTTCTAATGTGTCCTCATCAAACATTGCGTGACAATCAATAAAACCTACGAAATCTTCATATAGACAATATTCGTAACAGTATCTTAAGATTATTGACATTTGTGACTTATGATTTATGTCCGTGGTTTCGTCAAATATTACACTATAAAATTGACTTTTATTTACTCGTTGTAAAATGGTTTCTAAAATCTTCTCACCACAGAATTCAATTATTTCATTTTGCGTATAACTACTAATATAGGTTGCACGAGATTAAGTGTTTTCTAAATGTTTTTTTAATACAACATCGCCACTCCCTATTCTAAATTTAATTAATTCATGAAAGTTACCTTCATTTTTTACAAGAATATCCTCATTTTCAGAAGAACCTTCGGAAACGACAAGAGTTCCTCGATCTCTATTACCTCTAAAAGGAATATTTTGTCCTCCCAAAAATATTACTGACT